ACACATGCCTGGGCTTCAAAGGTAAACAATCCACCATCAGCTTCCTAGATCGTGTACTTACCATTTATTACATAAATGTTCTTGATAGTTTTTGTGAAAGAATATCAAATATTGTATATACAGAGAGTTTCAGAATTATAGATAAGCGATTGTTTGCGAATATAATGTCTACAGAATGGTGCAAAATATCCATATGTACAATGTCATAAAGTTGTAGAGTGTTTATAGAATGTTGTAGAATATTATATTTCCAGAATGTTGTAGAATATTATATTAACAGAATGTTATAGAATATCCATGTATACATAAAGTTGTAGGATATCATATTTACAGAATGTTATAGAATATCCATCTATACCTAAAGCTGTAGAATAATATATTTCCACAATGATGTAGAATAATATATTTACAGAATGTTGTTGAATATTTAATAGGTCTCACATTCCACGAATCGCATAATTTCCTTTCCACCTATCCCTTCCTGCAATGCTGAATCAAATCTGAAGGTCCTCTGAATCTCGAATCTCACACAGACTCCTTTTCAAATTCAAAAGGAATTATTCATTTCTATCAAAATTATAAACATTCAGAAACTAAGCTTTAGTCTGTTGAATATTATATACTCTCCAAAAAAAAGAAACGCATATAGGAATTTCAACTGTATTTTTATGTTTATTTTGAAACATCTTGTATGCTTTATGAGTCAATGAAATATAGCGAAAGTGCACACTGTGAATGCAGACTTATCCGTCTTTGGCACTGTCAACGCGTGGTGTACGCGTCAACTGGGGAATTAGCTCATAATTAAGATGAAGTGTGCGTTGATGAAGACGAAGGCATAGTTGAGTTCAAACTTCTTTAGTTACATGACAAACAAATACACAAGACATACATAAACAGCGGAGTACCTGCTCAACCACAGGGCGTTTCCAACGAGCGGCATTATCCTGCTCGTGGTCGTCCCAACGGACAGTCCAACTACCGAACTCGTACTCCTTCCACTGTCCTCATTCACCGTCTACCTGTGAGCATACCTAGTATATATATATACAGTTTTTGACAACAATGGTCAGGCGACGACTCATCAATGGACAGACAGAAAAACAATAGTACTTCCTTGACCAGTTAATGTGATGGCAGACACGGCCAAGGGGGGATTACCAATGGAGGTTATAAATGTCAGACTCTTATACAATAATTAATGGGCTGACAAGTCAATTTACAATGCGGTAGTGATAAGGATGTACAGTAGTGATTAAAAATACAGCTTAGCGTCATTTATATATTACAATAAAGTCTCACATGTCTTGAGTACATAGGTTTGGACTTTTTAAATATTTGGACGATGGCTGTCCTGAATTAGTCACTATAACAGCACTAACTCGAGGAAAGTCAGTTTGAGTGTCACATGGAGACGTGTGGTGGCGTTGAAGTCAATACCTCGTGTGACCACCGTGGGCATCCAGAACTATAATCGAACGAATAAGTCTCAGAATCTCGTGTTGCCGAATCGCAGCCCACTCTGCCTGTAGTGCCTGTGCGAGTTGCTGGAGTGTCTGGGGCTGAGGGTAACGGCGTCGCACCCGTCTGTACAGGGCATCCCACAGATGTTCGATCGGGTTTAAGTCCGGTGATCTTGAGGGCCAGGGGAGCACATTGATGTTGTTGTTCTGGAGGAAGTCTCTAGTGTGACGTGCTGTGTGGGGCCTGGCATTGTCCTGTTGAAACAACTCCCTCTGGCGATCAATGGTTGGAAGGAGGTGTGGGAGTAGGAGTTCGTCACAGTACCGTTGAGCTGTCAGGTTGCCCTGGATCATCACCAAATCACTGCTCCTACGGCAGGTGATCGCTCCCCACTGTCCCGGCCGAATCTGTCCACCTGGGGAACGCAAGCGTCGGATAAACGTTCACGTCGACGTCTGTACACCCGCATATTCTTCCATCGCGTCGTTCCAATAGAAATCGTGATTCATCACTGAACCAGATTCTACGCCAATTCGGTAGGTTCCAGGCCTGAACGTTGGTGCACCATTGAACTCGATGTCGACGATGTTGTTGTCGAAGCACAAGGGCCAAAATAAGGTCTTCTGGCACGTAAACCAGCCTCTCTCAACCTGTTCCCGACGGTCTGCGCAGAAAGCCTCCTCAATCCGGGTATTTGTCGAGCGGTACTGGTCGCCGTAGCTGTTCGATGACGCAGGTGATGTACCCGGATGTAGCGATCCTGCGCCGCAGTGGTCGCTCGAGGTCGCCACTACGAAGGAAATCTGCTACCGCATTCTGCCGGCGATATCTCTCCCAGAGCCGTGAAATGGTGCTTTGGTGAACATTCATGTGTCGGGCAACTGCACGTTGAGACTGGCCAGCTTCAAGCAAACCAATGGCGATATGACGGTTGGCTTCACTTAGACGTGGCATTTTGCGTTCGTCAACAATATTCCAAATACAGTGAATAATCGACAGACAACGATCAACCTTTTATACCCATCATTGAGACTATCTGATCCCCAACGTTCACGTGCATTGCATGTGAATTGTGTATTCTGTGACACTACACGCCGAAATTGAAAATCATGCTGTTAAATACGGGTATTTTACGGATGATGCGTTTTGTTGTGATGTTTCAAAACATAAACACCATAGGACTCATAAACAGAGCAAAACCTTTTGTAAAATGAATCCCGTTTTAATTCATTGCTACATGAAATTGCTATTTTCATGATGCGTTTCTTTTTTGGGTGAGTATATATATCGAATGTTGCAGACTGCTATAATTGAAGAATGGTATTATATAAAATAACCTACACTGATCATTGGCACACTATGTTGCAGACTACTATAATTGCGGAATAATATTATATACAATAACCTACACTGACCATTGGCACACTATGTTGCAGACTACTATAATTGCGGAATGGTATTATATACAATAACCTACACTGACCATTGGTACACTATGTTGCAGACTACTATAATTGCGGAATGGTATTATATACAATAACCTACACTGACCATTGGTACACTATGTTGCAGCCTACTATAATTGCGGAATGGTATTATCTACAATAACCTACACTGACCATTGGTGCACAAAGTTGCAGACTACTATAATTACGGAATGGTATTATATACAATAACCTACACTGACCATTGGCACACTATGTTGCAGACTACTATAATTACGGAATGGTATTATTTACAATAACCTACACTGACCATTGGCACACTAGGTTACAGACTACTATAATTACGGAATGGTATTATATACAATAACCTACACTGACCATTAGTACACTATGTTACAGACTACTATAATTACGGAATGGTATTATATACAATAACCTACACTGACCATTGGTACACACAGACTACTATAATTGCGGAATGGTATTATATACAATAACCTACACTGATCATTGGTGCACTAAGTTACAGACTACTATAATTACGGAATGGTATTATATACAATAACCTACACTGACCATTAGTACACTATGTTACAGACTACTATAATTGCGGAATGGTATTATATACAATAACCTACACTGACCATTGGTACACTATGTTGCAGACTACTATAATTGCGGAATGGTATTATATACAATAACCTACACTAACCATTGGTACACTATAATTGCGGAATGGTATTATATACAATAACCTACACTGACCATTGGTACACTATGTTGCAGACTACTATAATTACGGAATGGTATTATATACAATAACCTACACTGACCATTGGTACACACAGACTACTATAATTACAGAATGGTATTATATACAATAACCTACACTGACCATTAGTACACTATGTTACAGACTACTATAATTGCGGAATGGTATTATATACAATAACCTACACTGACCATTGGTACACTATGTTGCAGACTACTATAATTGCGGAATGGTATTATATACAATAACCTACACTGACCATTGGTACACTATAATTGCGGAATGGTATTATATACAATAACCTACACTGACCATTGGTACACTATGTTGCAGACTACTATAATTACGGAATGGTATTATATACAATAACCTACACTGACCATTGGTACACACAGACTACTATAATTACAGAATGGTATTATATACAATAACCTACACTGACCATTAGTACACTATGTTACAGACTACTATAATAACGGAATGGTATTATATACAATAACCTACACTGACCATTGGTACACTATAATTGCAGAATTGTATTATATACAATAACCTACACTGACCATTGGTACACTATGTTGCAGACTACTATAATTGCAGAATGGTATTATATACAATAACCTACACTGACCATTGGTACACACAGACTACTATAATTGCGGAATGGTATTATATACAATAACCTACACAGACCATTGACACACTATGTTGCAGAATGTTACATAATCATCCAGACAATTACACATACAACCTGTAGTAACACATGTATGCCCCAGGTGTATTTTAAATACCGGTTTCTATTGTTTCAACGATGGAGGCGCTTGAGCGAGTAAATCTGTAACACAATACCACTAAGCCTACTGGGCCCGAACATTGAGCTGCCGGCAGTTTGAGAAGACGTCTTAAGGTCATTTGTAGATGGCTGGCGGGCGTGTTAGAAAGTGGACAGATTAGATTTGTTTACGTGGGACATGTTATTCCATGTCGGCGTTATGCCAGCACAATGGGGTGAAAATGTCTGAAAATGTGTATGGATTCAAAGACATTTCATGGGACTTTGCAGATCTCTGGTTATCTCTTTTGTTAGCGGGGCGGTGGGTTAGCCTAGCCATTAAAGCGTTCGCTCGTCACGTTGAAGGACCGGGTTCGAATCCCCACATGGGTATGTGTGAGCTCATTTCTTGTGTTCCTTGCTCGAATGTAACTGGAACATTGTTAAAAGCTAAAACCTTGCTCACTCACTCTACCAGGTCATTTCCAGCACGCTCTCGGAGTGATAGAGTGATGCCTAAATGACTCATGCAAAACATAAAATAAAACCCTTTCAATGGAATTATTTAATTTTGAAAGTTGATACAAAATGTTCCGCATCTTTATCACCTGTTCCTAAAGACGAATGCATCCCGATGTGGTGAAACAGGTTAGGTTCCAGCTGATAGGCTGGGGTCTGAGTTTGAATAACGAAGTCATAAATGGCCAGATCGGTATGCTGAGGTGAAGGCAATGAAGTCAAGTATGTGGTCAAGGGCTCAACTATTGCGCGTGGATACAACATGGCCGGTGTACAACATCCGGGCGCTTGTCGGAACTGATACAAATATTTTGACAGTCTTCGAAGTTCAAGAATGTTTTGACGACATACTAACTCTGCCGTCAACATGAAGATAATCACTCCTATTACAAAATATTGACACATGGTCCAATGCGTCAATTTTGTCTTGGAGCTCCGTACCATGAGTCCAAACAAAAGGCTTACTCCTCCACCAACACAACCTATACTGATCAGCTCTAAAACCCTTGGTAGCTCGAATGCAAATCCTTGCCATTTCTCTGGGTAATAGAGTTTCAGGAAGGCGAACTTCTTCTTCACAGGTGTACCTTTTGATTTATCGACTAAATGATTATCTAGTGAATATTCCAGAACGCTGGACAAATCTGTATGAGGAACGGCATCATCTTCAACCATCAGTACATACTCGGGATGAAACGACTCGGCAACCTTTAAACAGTACGAATAGTCAAAAGTTTCCTTTTCGCGAGTGTTTTTATGCATTTTTTCATCGTACGTGAGGTCTGAATGCGGGAGCTGTATATCTTTAACACTGAAACTCGATGAACCATACCTTTTAGTAAACGGCAGGTACGGTTCCAGAAAACGCGCCTCTTCGTGCTTGTGGGGTTGAGAATCAACATTGCAGATAAATACAAATGTCCTGTTTATAAAGTTTCTGCTTCTTGCAAAACTGTCAATTCCAGCTGCAGTTTGGAGAACATACCCCATACTTTCGTTCACTCTCTTAACACCCGAGCGTCTCACTGTGACTACAGCCACAGCTAAATACATGTGGGTGCCGTTTCCAATGGAATGGTAGTGACGGTAACTTTCACTGGCCATCATATTTTTGAAGTACAGGTTGGCATGTTTAACCCTGTCTTCATTTAACATCTTGGCTCTCTGTTGGAAGTTAATCCGTCCTGACGTTACGCCGTAGTAGGTAGAGAAAGGAAGTGTTCGACATAAAAACGGTAACAAAATACAGAACTGTATGATACACGCGACAACACCAAAATGGCGGAGAAACGTACATAGTTTAGACATGGCGACTCGAATGCTGTCACGAGTACCACACATATACAAGCTGCTGCAGGTGTACATGGCTCTCATTCAAGGTCCTATTATTCCCACGTAAACATGTTTTACTGATCGTGGGACATAGTCACAACATTTATTGTGTAACGCGTGCTCAAAGCTCAAAGTGTCTAAAGATAGAAACCAGCTAAAGGATGTCACACTGACAGAAAATGTATAATAATGCACATCCGTTATGCCCACACTTTACCTTGGGGTGGCTTTCAGATTTCTCCTTGAATCACGTTAGGTTTCATTCATGGCTGTCGCCTTCCTGAGTACGTTGATGTTGAATGTCGTTGGATGAATGAAACATGTTACATTGATGTCTGACAGGATTGTTGATCCAACATACATCTTCATACCTTGTGTGATAATCCCCGAAAAGGTGCTACTTTCTAGCAAATTTCAAGCTATGACTGAGACAGGGCGCTCCACTCTCTCCGTGAGTTTCTGTACTGCTAGCATGGTGGCTGAGCGTTCGTGTGACATCAACGCAGCTGGGACACCTGACGGATGGATGTGTATGAGAGTTTACCAGGCCTACTGTAGCTTCTATCTCGTGGCTGAGACAGGGCGCTCCACTCTCTCCGTGAGTTTCTGTACTGCTAGCATGGTGGCTGAACGTCCGTGTGACATCAACGCGGCTGGTACACCTGACGGATGGGTGTGGGTGTGTGAGTGTACCAGGCCTCCTGTAGCTTCTATCTCCACGCTCGTCTCCAGGTCATACGTTGAGCGACGCAAGGTATGTGTTGCAGCGCAGCAGTTCCGCTTCGCTGACGATAACACGGTAGTCGCCCAAGGCAATTAGACTTATGAATTAGATTTATCGAGGCAAAAACCATGACAATAATATATCTGGACGCCGAGGATAACATGACTCTGTTCCCTGGTTTTTTTATATTTAGCACTTTTTTGAGTAACAATTTCCATTTTTGAAATAACATCCTTGTAACATTTAATGTTTTTGCTGGAATGATCTAACAAGCAGGTCCGTGCACAATGCATTCAAAGTTGTATAAGTGACGAATTTTGGTTCGTTGGGTTGTTGTTTTACGCCGCACTCAACAATATTCCAGCTATATGGTGACGGTCTGTAAATAATCGACTCTGGACCAGATAATCCAGTGATCAACACCATGATTATCGATCCACGCAGGGATACGATGGCATGTGTCAAGCAAGTCAGACGCGTCGTACGACAAGCATAGGTTACTGAAGACCAATTCTAACCCGGATCTTCACGGGTTTTAACTGATGATGTGTGTTGACATCTAAATAGTAGTAGTACCGTTTCTGCAACCGTACGCTTTTTGATCATATATGAAGGCTAACAGTTTGATTCCACAGAGGTTTTCAGATTACCTCATTTTATGTAGTAGGAAACTAGGAATATTTATTAGGATATTTCCTGTTATTGTGGCAGTTCGTGGACCCTTGACAATTACGGAAAGTTTGAACTGAGTAATGTACGGAAGCTAAAGCAATAACTAAACTGTGATGTTAACATGGGATAAAGTGAATATCGCTAAAAAAGATATCACTGAGACTTTGGTTGTATAGGCAACACGTGTTAAATGTACAAGCCGCAGGCAAAAGTACGGAAGCGTCCTAGTGCCACAGTCAGAATATTATTATCTCCTAATTAGGACTTAGCTATCTCCTAATTAGGTGATACTATCTCCTTATTAGGAGTTACTATCTCCTAATTAGGACGTAATATCTCCTAATTAGGACTTGATATCTCCTAATTAGGACATAGCTATCTCCTAATTAGGAGATACTATCTCCTAATTAGGAGATATTAAGTTCTAATTAGGAGATATTAAGTCTTAAGTAGGAGATAGTATCACCTAATTAGGAGATAGCTAAGTCCTAATTAGGAGATAAAAAAAATTCTGACTGTGGCACTAGGACGCTTCCGTACAAAAGCATGTGCATTGTATTCATTAAATATAACATGCATGTGCTGGTTACTTTCCACAAAGTGATATATAGAAACAATCGACAGGATTTTGCATATGTTTTTGACGGGTATCACTGATGGGGCACATTTTCGTATCATCGACATAAACACATGTTCATGTTCATAAACACATGCTCTATCAGCGTACAGCACGGTGACATTCACTGCATTGTCTGGTCCAGACTCGATTGCTTACAAACAACATCGTACAGCTGTAGTACTGCTGAAACAAATACATACTCCTGATATTGTCAGAATTGTATAATCGACTCTGCTTATAGCAGAGATTTCTTATGAATGTGGAAAGGGTTTTGTCGCTTCTATTAGACAGGCATTTCTTACCACGTAGCACTCAGAATAGTCCCTGTAGTGATAATGTTCCTATGTGATGATCAATTTCATCAGTTAATGTGTATTGCGATATTTTGCTATGAACATAGGTCATCGCTTTGGTTTATTTTGTAAAATGCGATTTCGAGCACCGACAGTGAGTGAGGCCAATACCCGAAGCGCCAGTAAAATATATGTTTTGCCACCATCAGCGAAACATTGTGCAAGGGTTTGTCGCCCTTTGACTGTTCAAGACGTCAGTGACTGTGAGCTAGAGTGAGTGAGTTAGTTTGGTTTGACACCGCTGAGTGAGTGAGTGAGCGAGTGAGTATGGTTTTACATCGCTTATATCATATATTCCACGCAATGACACGGCGGGGAACACCAGAAATGGGCTTCACATCTTGTGGGGAATCGAACCCGGATCTTCAGAGCGGACGCCCAAACCACTAGGCTACCCCACCGCCCCGACACCGCTGAGGACAAAGGTTATTTGTAAAGGTGTCAGAAACAATGTACTTGACGTATGAAGACTTTTCTAACTTTCAGGTATCACTGGCACAACATGCGTCGTTTACATTACTGTAACTTATTTTGAAACCCGTGAAGATCCGGGTTAGAATTGTTCTTCAGCAACCCATGCTTGTCCGAGGAGGCGATTAACGGGATCGGGTGGTCAGACTCGCTGACTTGGCTGACATATGCCATTGTATCTTAATTGCGTAGATCGATGCTCATCCTGTTGATCACTGGATTCTCTGATCCAGAGTCGATATATAGCTGGAATATTGCCGAGTGCGGCGTAAAACTAAGCTCACTCACTTATTTTGACTAGTAACCACGGTTTCCGTATTTGTATTTTGTTTCTTCAAGAGAACAATTCACTTGCCTTTGCACGTGTTTGGTGTGGATGGACTTCGTGGGTGTGTTTACGAAGACCAGGGTCGATAGCGATCCCTAAATACAAATCTTTTACTTGAAGGAAATTGGTCTGTATCGTAAACTACAGATACATGTAGATAAAGATTACCACTTGCTTGTCTTTATTTGCCAGTGTTCTGGATTTTGAATATATTTTGGGCCCATTCTTTCAAGTTGTAAAACGTTCTTTTTTACAGGCAGCTTGGGTTATCCGGGGTAATAATGTGCTGTGCGATTCATTGTTAACACTACGAGCATACCAGGTGTGGATGTTGGCGCTATATAAATGGACGCATTATTAGCGTGTACATGGAAACTTGAGTTTGTGTTAATGGTGGTATATGTAAATCTTGTCTCGTAGCATTATGGCTGATATAATGTTAATGCGACGTAAAACTTTCAGTCAGTCAGTCAGTCACTCACTCACTCACTCACTCACTCACATTGTGCCCCGGAGACTTTCTGCATATGTTGGTGGAAATGCATATAACGAACTACATTGTCACGCACTAAAAATAGCTATCCCTCTGAGTTCGTTATAACCGCAGTTCGTTATAACCGTAGTATATAGAGAATCTCACCCAAGTGTCTACTGATATCAATTATATCAACACGAGTTGATAAAGTTACAAATATCCGAGGCTTGCCGAGGATATTTTTACCTTTATCAACGAGTGTTGATATAATTGATATCAGTAGACACGAGGGTGAGATTCTATTTATCATCAAAATCATTCTTCATTAGTTTTCAATGAAAAATGCACATCTCTCAACTCTGTACTACCATTAGATTTGCAGTGCAGCGATGTCATAGCATTGTGACGTCATCAAGTTGATGACGTCATAGCATTGTTGGGGCATTGTACAAAATCTACTGTCAAAACGATATCTCCTATGAGATATCATATGATCTCACACAAGCGATATCTCCTGTGGAAAACAGTTTTGGATGATAAACTATATTATGTAACGGAGTGGGATGTGATACCGAAGACAGGGTTAACACCATGCAGTATGTAGCTGCCGTATTGCCAGAGCGTTTGAAGGCTCAGCATCTTTCGTTGCACAGCTAAACTGAGTCTCCGTATAGCAGTGTCACCAATAATACTGAGCCTTAGTTTACTTTAGTCTGAAGTAAAAACGTATGTCCACCATAATTAGGCATGAGTGAGTATAAATTTAGACCGCCTTTAGGAATTCTCCTGCAATATCATGATGGAGGACATCAGAACATGGTTTCACACCTTGTATTGGACCCGGGTCTTCGGTGTCACGATTTTAAGCATTCGGCCACCCCACATCCCCCATACTCGGATACGTAAGAGGCGACTAACGGGATCGGGTGGTCAGGCTCGCTAACTTGGTTGACTCCTAAACCCCTGCATCCCAGTTTCCCTATAATTAGTTAAACCAACACACGTCATTTATCCGTCTTGCACAATGAACTCATCCAAACGAGTGGTTAGGGTCTAGAGTAATCATGAAAGTGGTAGAGATTAAGGGATAAGGGGAGTTTAAGAAAAGCTTAAGACATTTTTATGAATTAAAGGAAGTTGCTTGGTTGTTATCGTTGATGAATGAAGCATGAATGGTGTATCCGAATTGTGTAAAACGATGCTCTTGATGTTGATCACTGGATTATCTGGTCCAGACTCGATTATTTTCAGACCACAGCCACAGAGTGCAGCGTTAAACAACAACCTATCCAACCAGGGAGAATAGAAGACGTTGTAGATTATCACTGATCCAACCAACCGACTCCGAGCCGGCAAATGCTTGCTGTGTCTTCTTTATAGCAATTGCAAGATAGGAAAACAACTTAGATCAGCCTTTCTATGGTTTTCTTGTATGGTTAGGCCAGGGATCGAACCTCAAAACTCCCGTAGAATACTCTATCCAATACACCACGCTGGCGGTCTGAGAAAACATTTATTTGTAGTGATGGAAAGTTGGTTGCCTAATAATCTCTAAATATTCACTCCATAATGTCATATGTTTGTTGATGTCACTTAGAATGAATGAGTGAATTTAGTTTTACGCCACTTTAAGCAATATTACAGCATATCACGGCGGGGGAACACCAGAAATGGGCTTGACACATTGTGCACTTGTGAGGTATCGAACCCGGGTCTTCGGCGTGACGAGCGAACGCTTTAACCACTAGGCTACCCCACCGCAATACATATCACTTTCAACGTTTATGATACAAGATGAGAGTTAACGGTTTTAGCGTTCTGTTGTTTGTTGTAAGCAAGGGTTACAACTATCCGCTTGTGTGTGATGGACGTAATGCAATAGGCAAAGTATACAAGACACAGTGACTTAACAATCGCCACGACGTATTATACAGCAAAGCTACACGAAATGATTAAGACAACACAAAAACTACTTCAGCATAATTATGCGTTATGTATTGAAATTTCATGTGGATACTTTTATTTTTTTCAAACAAGGGATGTATTTTCAATATAAAATATCCATGTACATACAAAACGAGAGAATATTAAAATGATATAAAATAACACACACACACACACACACACACACACACACACATTGATGTAATCTGAGGGTCGCTGGTCGCTCAAATGCACACAGTGTTCAAATTGAGTCGAATCGGAATAACCACAGAGAAACAGATGCATTTTCGCTATACAAAGTTCCAAATCTTTAGACTTTAGTAGGATTCTATAAGCCAACTATAAGATTCTAAAATATAGAGTTACAGGGTCAGGTGATGTTCAATCTCATTCTCCAACAACAATTGTTACGGTCTTCTGGTTTCTCGAAGGATGTATTGCAAGTCTTCAAGAGCATTTTTTGTTGCCACTGAACCTACAATTTCTATTTTAATGCATCTGGGTTTAGCGAGTGAATTTAGTTTTACGCCTCATGCATCTGGGCGATATCAGAGTAACGTTCAGCAAAACATCTTTAGATTTTGTATTGCTCTCGAGTCGGAATTTCTTCAAGAATTAGGAAAGTGGAAACAAGGTAGTTTGGCAAAAACGTTTTTTGGAGTCAATCCGCTCCTGCTGCTAAACCTATCACTCTCCTTTATACATCTAATCCTGAAAGCAACATGCACATTCTAACACACCAGAAACACAGCGACGGAAATAATAACATCAAATCCAGATTTATTCAATACTGTATTATGTTAAACGGAGATTTATGTAGTCCAGTATACCTGTCTCAATATCAGTTTGTATCGTATGTCATCCTTCCGCCAATGACTGAATATCACGTGAATCCATGTGGAAGAGGAACTGCTCGAGTCTTTTGATCTTATATTTGTGTAGTGTCGACTGCATGCCGATATGGTAAAATAAGTTCGGTTCCAGTTGGTATGTTGGTATACTAGTCTGCTGTGTAAAGTCATATATAGAAATGTCAGTATGCTCGAATGACGTCAGAGTGGTCAAATATGTGGTCAGAGGGTCAACGATTGCAGATGGATATAGCACAGCCTGGGTACAACATCCAGACGCTTGTCGGAACGTGTACAAGTATTTTGACAGTCTTCGTATCTCCATGATGTTCTGTCGGCCTACAAACTCAGCTGTTAAGATGAAAAAAAGCATACCCAAGAGGAAGTGGCTTAGTTTCGATTTGTAACTGTACCTTCTGTTTTTAACAAACAACTCAGATGCAGCAATGGTGACACCCCCTCCAACACAACCTACACTTACAAGCTCCAGAATCTTTAAGGCTTCATATGCATAGCCTTGCCATCGCTCGGGATAATACAACTTCAGATAGGCAAACTCTTTCCTTTGAGGAGCGCTCTTCGTGTTGTCGGTAAGATGATTCCCCAAGGTATATTTCAAAACATTCCCTAAATCTTCATGAGGAATAGCATCGTCTTCCACCATCAACACATACTCTGGGTCAAATGATTTTGCAACGTTTAAACAGTACGAGTAGTCCCAAGTTTCCTTTTCGTATTTACTTTCGTTTTTCTTTGTCCGATAAGTGGAAAAATTATTTTGAATTTGATCATTATCTTCTAATTTAAAACTTGTCAAACCATATCGTTCACTAAAGGGTAGATATTTCTTCAGAAACGCTGCCTCGGTGTGGGCTTCTGGATTCAGATCAACATTACAAACAAAGACAAACGTTCTACGGGAAAAGTGATGACTTTTGGCAAATTTGTCTATCCCGGCTGAAGTCTGAAGAACATATCCAAGATCTTGGCTTTTGTTCTTAACAGTGCGACCGACTGTGACTATGGCTACCGTCAGAAAAATGTCCGAGCTTTTTCCAACAGAATCATAGTAGCGTAGATTACCTCCAGGAATTTGTCTCTTGAAATAGGAATAAGCACTTTTGACTCTTTGGTGATTTACATGATTAACAATATTGACGGTGTGGTTGTTGGATCTGAGAGAAGCCTGGAAGTATGACGAGAAAGGAAGATTATAACACAGAATCGGCAACAACAGGAGAAACTGAAACATGTACACAATAGCTACTGTGGAAACACATCGCCGAAAGCTGGATCTTGCCATGGTGCTTCTTCTTGTTGAGTATCTTGCTCTCACGTGTTCCGACCGTGAAACTTGAACTGTTGAAGTGCTGTTTCGTCAACCTAATCCCGTGTCTACAAAGCACATACTACGCTTGTGCTTCATCCGAAAATCACGAAGAATACATCAGTTGTTGACTTGTGTCCTGTTCCCAAATATAATGGCTTTCGTGCTTTGGCTACAGAGCCAGCAGGGCTCAGTGGCCTTTGAACTTGGTCAGATTTCAATGGCTTGACCAGATGAACATGATATGTTAAAAGCTTTCAGTGAATGTGACGGAGGATCGATATTCAATATAGCATGGGATATCAATATCAAAGGCCCATGTGCTGTACCAACCGGAAAGTAGTTGATTGTTATGTGGGTGACGATCAATATCCAATAACTGAAAAGAAACAATCACAGTAAGCGTATTCTTTCCACAATCGCATACAGGATCGATGTTGCGTCTATTCTCCCTAATAAACGTGCTCTGTATTAGAGGAACCGTCATGCCATGGGACACGAAGCATAAAATATAGCCAGTAGACTTGATTGTTAGCCATTAATACTGTCAACTTTGTCATGCATCGATTCTAATAAATGTCTGTCAAACATCACGGCGTTGTCACTGAATCCGATCTCAGGTACACATAGTCGAATTATGTGTCTGTGTGCTGGATGGTATGTCCCATAACGTGGAGAATTGAATAGTGTGTCTCATCAATGATCCCCTCACTAGCAGCGGATGGATGACTGGTTTGCAACTCCGCCGGATGTCCCACATACCTGTATCACTACCCCGCGGAATGTCGTCTGCGCAGATCGGGCAGACGACTATCGCAGTATTGAATAAAGGAAAGGCCAACTCGGCAAACACAGTTAACGAATCACCACAGAAACAGCACAGCGTCTCCTCCCAGCCTTGACCTGGGATAAAATTCCAACACCCGGATCTGTCTAACGACGGGCGAATACACATTACACTATGCGATTATTCATCACAATGGAGCTCTGTTATTGAACGCTGAACAGTGCTTCTGAAAAGTCGGTCAGTCCATATTTCAGTAAACATTACCTTACCCACGAACCTCCAAAACAATGTGAATACTCCCGTTTACATAACAAGTGGACGCCATTTCTGTACGGGTACTACATCATCCGTGGTATGAACGATGCTGACTGTGACGGTTGACCTCTCCCTAGTTCACAGCAACTGGGGTACCCGTCTCTGCTATAGGTCAAACCACAGCCTGGTCATATACCGGGTAAGATGTCCGGTTGGAACGTGACTATTTTGAATCAGGGAGCCCTTCAAGTGTTTCCCTTGAAACACCAAACGAATCTCACAGCTGTCGATTCACCTGTAATTGTGAGTCATGTCGTATGTACACTGTAGGAGAAATGCTAGCTCTTAACAGAGTATTCAATGTCCCGGTGGAAAGAATCTTTAGTTGTGCACAGGGGCGTATTATGATGAAAATGAAATGCCCGCTCGGTGAGAATACTTACATTTGATGATGATATGCTTCGCGAAACTCGATCACACCCACAGGAGGTGTGTACAGGTGGACCTTCCATACATGACCTAGGGCATGATTCTATCGTCAATAAATATTCATTAATTCCTTAGGCGTCTTTGTGGTTGTACAGTGATAGCCATTCATTGACTGTAAAGTTTGGTCGAGGTTGTTCTTCTTCAACATACTGCCCGTGGATAAAAATAACAGACCGTTTCATTATGTATGAAGTGGGGTTGTAGTGATGTTATAATATAGAAAATATAATATTCGTATAAATTATTTATCAATACGCCGCGATGGATCTGTGTCACTACGACAGGTGCGCCAGCTACGTGTGTTCGGCAACACGTGTCGGTGTGTGATGTGAGCTTGATGTTCTTCGTTGTGATGAGGTCGGAATAATGCTAAAAGAGACATGAAGCTCAATTCACTCATTTTCTAATTCGATGGTGTGCATAGTTACTTCCCTGGATAACGACAGCATCACCCGTAATCGTTTGGTTCGAAACTTGATTTAGGGTGAAAGTAGCACACAACCCTTGGTAATGATATAGGGTTGGTTGGTTGGTTGGTTGGCTGGTTGGTTAACGCCGCATCAATATCCCAGCTATATCAACAACACGATCATCGATCTACGCAGTTGGGACACGATGACATGTGTCAACCAGGTCAGCGAGCCTGACCACCCAAACCGGTTAGCCGCCTCGGACGACAAGCATGGGTTACTGAAGACTAATTCTAACCCCGATCTTCACGGGTCCTTGATACAGGGAGTGAGTAACGCCGCTTTTCAGCAGTATCACGGCGGGGGACATCTGAACTTGGCTTCACATACTCACTCAGTAGCAGCATACTGCTTTGGATGTGTGGCAGCATACTGCGTGTATTGACTGCACATTTTACATTTAATAAATATCAATTAACAAATGGATGTAAATTATAATAACTAAATGACAGGCAACGATTTCTGATAAGGTAATATCCGGTCATATTCACTGTGTATGTTTATACCGCCAGCTGTACAGGGTCATAACTAATTCCAGCAATTTACCATTCCATCACACCCACAAGGCTGACTAAAGTGCAACAACGCCGCACGGGTCAAAAGGTTAAATGTAGGGAATAATAGACCTTGAACAGAAAATATTATTTGTTAATTGAGTTCAAACAGAGCCAGCTTCCAGACAACATATGCTGCAAATGCGTCGACATCACAGCCTGTTCCATTAGGCAAGCAGAATTACCTTCCTTCTTTACCCACCTCTAACGGTATTTCGCCGATGATTATGGAAATGTTTTGTCTTTATGTTCAGTAAATATTTGTGAGATATATTGCACTCACCGGATTCAAGTATGTTAAGATATTGTATTATCTGATACCATTAGATACAAATAAGGGCAATTATAGCTGAATGTATAAATTGAGATAATATATACTACCCATCAAAAGTTTAGACTCACCTAAAGCACTCACTACATGTTATGTATATGTATGTATGTATGTATGTATGTATGTATGTATGTATGTATGTATGTATGTATGTATGTATGTATGTATGTATGTATGTATGTATGTATGTATGTATATGGTTACATCGAAGATGAATACTAGTATGGTTAAATCGAAGATGAATTTCTCCACTAACTTAGGGGAACCAAATGCAAACTTTATGCAGATGAATTGTACGAGGATCATGCATCAAATTGGTAAAAAGCAGGTGCAAATATCGTTCATGTGAACAGCTGCGTTTTGGGGTAAAGTTTTGTTAAGAATTCGCAATTTTTTACTGATTTTCATCATTTACTGAACTCATGACAATAATATTTTCAACGTTGCGAATTCGTTGTACAATACATTAGTTCATGTGTAAACAGTACCTTCAAACTGAATGGAATATTTTGCAAAATATCAAGGTTAGAACAGTTGACTGAAGTAAGTGGCTACATATATACTAGTGAGTCTAAACTTTTGATGGGTAGTATATATTACTGTGTGAATTATACTGTGTTGTTTATGACAACAATATGTGTCATATTTACCTGTATTTGTATCTGATTTTTTATAAGATGTGATTTACATGAGCATCGATCTACGCATTTGGGATATGTGTCATGACATGTGTCAACCAAGTCAGCCGTTAGTCGCCTCTTACGACAAGCATGGGTTACTGAAGACCAATTCTGACCCGGACCTTCACGGGTTTTAAGTAATGATATGTGTTGACATCTTAATTAATCTTAATCAGCAGTACCCTTTTTGCAACCGTACGATTTTTGATCATATATCAATATGAGGGCTAACATGGCATGCGTCATCCAAGTCAGCGAGCATGAGCGACCCCGTTAGTCGCCTCTGACGACAAGCATTGACTGCTGAAGACCAATTCTAACCCGGATGTTCACGGATCTGCACCTTTGTATAAAACGAATCATCCATAACAGCGCCATGTTGTTGCACATCCAATATTAAACAGAGAAATGGGAAGTTTAGCTCCGTGTTGTATGTATAAGTGGATGCAATCAGAGTTTATGAATTAATTTTGTTACGGCCAAAGTTCATGATTCCATCACAATAAGAACAGCCCTCCCGTATAGATTTACAAAGTAAAGAGGAGAACAGTAAATGCTATATCTTTTATCAATAGTGCTGGGATATTATTAACAGTGCCATAAGACCTTACTCACGCACGTCCACAGCAAGCATATTGAAGGGTCTTTGTTGTCTAAAACGTCACGGGTTGAATACTTATTGTCCTGACCGATCTTCAGTGCTCCATTGGTATAATTGGCACCGCTGTTTCCCCATTGTAGTGGGGCAGATAAATGCAAAAATGACCCAAAATAGTTCACTTAATCATGCAAACATAAAATTTGGCACATACATTCTCAAAGGACCACTCATTCATAAAAGGGCGTTAACCACGCAATAATCCAAGATGGCTGCCTCTTTTTTCAAGATGGCTGCCATCCATTGGCCAATTGCATCACCATCGAGAATAGGGATGTTACTGATGCATTTATCATGGTTTATAATCCCATTCAGTCACCAGTTTATTCATTTACTGAGGTTAATTTTGTCACGTTTTTAATTCCAAGTACTGAAACAAATATGGCGGCCAAAATTAGTATTGATCTCATCTCAGCATCTGTCACTATGAATGACATTTTTTCATCTATTGATGTTTTCGGGGTCAGAGATTCTAATTGATCTAAAACCTTTCTCAAAGGATGTAAACATTATTTACAAGGTGTTGGTATACTAATAGAGTGAATGTCAGTGCACAACCAGGGCACACTGGTGACTTCACTGCTGTGTAACTCAGCATGGGGTTCAGTGTCAGGTGATCTAGCTTTACTAATGCCGCTCCCGGCTTTACTAACTCTATTGTAGTAGAATAGTATCAGGTGTAGTGCAGTTTAGATTAGTGTCCCAAATGCTGTCTTATAGTCACATATCAATTAGCCAGTATAAAATAGTTAGTAGATAAAGTTAGACGGTCGCGCCTGAATTGAAGGGTGTGCCAGCGAGGGAGAGCCGAGCCAAGGGTAAGGGGGCTATACATGAGTTGTTCATGGACTTACCCGGATGGTGTACAGATCACACGGGACTTATATGGCACTGGAGTATGAGTGGCTGGAGAAGGTCTTTATCGCTGAAGAGATAGATGAAGGTGTTAACCTCACATGGTCAGCTCATCATGCATTTCAGAAAAGAAGCCCAGAGTTTGAAGTGAGTATCACTTCTTTGCTGCCACTTCTCAGGCTCACTCTGTAGCTACAGTGAAGCACGTAATGCAGGTATGTGATGCAGTTGCACACCTGAACCCAGGCCAAGTACCTGTCATTACAGCAGACCAGCCAATCTATGCCTTGGCAAAACAGGTGCAGTGGCAATGGCCAGACAAGTTTGGAGAGGATAAATACCTTGTCATGTTTAGGGGTCTCCATATCGAAATGGCTGCCTTTTGGTCTCTGGGTTCTCTGCTGAAGGACAGTGGTTGGACTGGCGCCCTAGTATAAGCAGGTGTGGCTTCTTCTGGCACTGCAGATTTACTTCTGGCAGCTTCAAGTGTCACTAAGACACGACAAATGCATCAGGTCACTTCCTGCAGCCTTTACAAGTTGCTAAAATGTGCCTACAACAGTTATTGCACAGAACAAGCAGAGATCAATGAAGACGTATTGGGCTTTGAGGAATGGTGTCAGATCAAAAGCCAACAAAGTTCGCAATTTCAATTCTGGCATTTGGTGTTGTAAATGGAACTTACAGTCTTCGTGCTGATCAGATCATTCCGTGAAGCCAACTTCAGCCTATACTGTCAGGCATTGATTGAGTTGATCCCATACTTGTTTGCCAATAACAACACCAATTATGCCCGATGGTTACCTTTTCATCTGAGGCACATGCTGACTTTGGAACACCCACCATTGGAGCAGGAATTCAAGATGGACAACTTTGTTGTGCACTCGGCCAAGCGTGACTTCTCAGCACATGCTCTTGATCAGGCCCATGAGCAGGCCAATGCTGCCATTAAGGCTGACGGTGGAGCAATTGGGCTTACTGAAAATCCATCAGCCTAAGGAGATGGATGGTCTCTGGCCCTGAGGTGAGCCATCTGGTGTTCCTCTATGAAATGGAGGCACAAACAAAAGAGGCCAGCGAGCACTGTCTTCACCATGAGCAAGCACCACGTGCCCAGAAGACATTCCAAGAAAGGGTCCAGAAACTCTCTCAGGTCCTGCAAGACTTGGGACACCTTTTCGAGGAAGACAATGTAGATTTGTTTCAATAGACACCAAAGATGTAGCTCATCCCAGCTCTGCGGAGCTTGTTCACACTCTCTTGCAGAAAGGTAGCTATGGTGGCTCATTCGGGCCATCGCTTTATCGCCCTGAAAAATCTAGGCGATATCGCGACAAAGCGATAGCACGACACGATATTGCGATATGGCGACACGATATAGCGATATTGCGATACAGCCCAAAAACGAAATAGCGATAACACGACACGATATGGCGATAGCAAGACACGATATGGCGATAGCAAGACACCATAGGTAGCACACAATACCAAAACTTTGTGAAAAGATTGGAAGATAATCCAACATCATTCTATGAGCCCATCAGAAAGCAAAGACTTGACTTCTTATGTCAAGATAAGCCTGTTACAGAACCATCAAAACAGAAACAGCTGAAAGAAGACTGTCAGCTGTTTTCCAAGCTGTTCATCTCCTGTCAAATCAGGGATTGCGACCTACAGGAGTTCTTTCAGCGCCAAAATCAATCATTCCCTGCATCTCTAAGTGATGGTGGAAAGATTTATAGCTGTCAAAAGTCCCAACTGACCAAGGGCCAGAGGCAGATGACATCATCATTGATGATTCAGCTTTGATCCATGCACTGCCACCGAAAAGGTCTAAGACATTTGCAGACTATGCAACCCTTGACTTTCTGCCTACTATTATGCCAGTACATACAATACAACACATGTTGTCTTTGATATGTACAGTCCGTTAAGTCTGAAAGCAGACAAAAGGTCCAAAAGAGGACAAGGAGTGAGAGGCAAGGTGACAGAAAAGAATGGCATTCTTTCAAACTGGCTCAACTTTCTGAGACACAATGACTACAAGTGGGGGCTGTTTCACTTCCTGGCAGACATGATTGTTTAGATGTCTGCACCAAACTTGGTTATTGTGACCAAGGGACACCAAGCACTTGGCACAAACAAAGTGAGTCTGACTGAACTGGACGAATGTTCTCATGAGGATGCAGACAGCCGCATCTTTGTGAGCAAATCCATCATAATCAAAGCCAATGACACAGATGTGAGTATGTTCCCAACATTGCAAAGCATAAATCGGCAGCAGCTGTGGCTCTTATTTGGCCATGGTCAGAGCCTTCGATGGATTGGCATTCACAACCTGCACAACTCTGTTGGTTAAGAGAAGGCCAAAGGCATGTTGTTCTTCCATGCTTTTACAGGTTGTGATGTGGTGTCAGCTTTTAGGAATATAGGGGAAAAGACAGCTTGGGAAACATGAGACATTTTCCCAGAGGCAACATCAGTATTTCCCAGACTGAGCCAGCATCCACCAACCATTGAGGATGATGACATGGATATCCTAGAGAAGTTTGTGGTCCTCATGTATGACAGGTCTAGCACTGTAGATGGTGTGGATGAGGCTAAACTCGACTTATCTGCCAGAAAGCGGAGACCATATGAAGTCATCCCTCCAAGCAGCTCTGATTCAACAAGCTAAACGTGCAGCATATCAGGCAGGTTGTGTGTGGGCTCAGGCAATTCTGTGCCAGTCAGAAGCAGAGATTCCAGCTGACTGGGGATTGGAGAAGATCCTTCTGGACAGCTATAGCTAACTCTCCCATTGCAAAGAGTTTTGAACATCTCACTAAGTGTGGCTGCAAGTCTGGCTGTCGTGGCAAGTGCAAATGCTACAGGTTTGGTCTCACATGCACAGCCTTGTGCAGTTGCAAATGTGAAGTGTAGTTTCTGTTATTCTGGGTGCAGTGGTTAGTTCAGGTACAATTTCGACTGCTTTTTGCTAAAACTGCCATTTGATTTATGTATTGTTTTGGTATTGTAATAAAAACAACTTCATTTTGTCATAAAAATTGAAATAAGTTGTTTTACCTGAAGTAGTTACAACTTGCACAGTAATTATTAGTAATTTTTAGTGTAGACGGCGGCCATCTTGAAAATGGTAGCCATCTTGGATCTTGCGTGGCTAATGCCCTTTTTTGAAAGAGTGGACTCCAATGAACATTTGTGCCAAATTTCATGCTTGCATGATTAAGTGAACTATTTTTTCACTTATCGGCCCCACTATTGGAATGTGTTGACATTTCATCGTATTTCACCGTATATTGATGCTCATTATATCAGTCACTGGATTGTCTGGTCCACACTCGATTTTTACAGACCACCGTCATGTGAGTGGAATATGTTTTAGTGCCCGAATTATTAGTTATAGGATATTTATATAGCACACATATCCACGTCACTAGTGCATGCTCAAGGCGCTGGTGACCCGTAAAGATCCGGGGTAGAATAGGTCTTCAGCATTCCATGCTTGCCACAAAAGGCGACTATGCTTGAAGTAAGAGGCGACTAACGGGATCGGGTGGTCAGGCTCGCTGACATTGTTGACACGTGGCATCGGTTCCCAATTAAGCAAATAGATGCTCATGCTGTTGATCACTGGATTGTCTGGTCCAGACTCGATTATTTACAAACCGCCGCCATATAGCTGGAATATTGCTCAATCTCAACTCCCTGGGGAGTATACAACTCTTGCAGCCACTAGGCGCACCGGGTTAGTGTGGCTTTCTCATTCTAACGAGGTACCCATTCACAGCTGGGTGGATGGGACACATAGTCACAGTACTTTGTCCATGTTTACTGCACGTTGCTGAACCCGCAACTAGGTGTTTGCACGTATTCATGTGGCCACCATCTGGTCACATACCAACGGATTCGTGGGATCTTTTAAGTGCACAGGGTTGTGTACTGTACGGTAGGCGTTGTGACAACACGGAAAGAGTCTGCACACAAACTTGACTCCAAGGTTTTTACACCCGGTTACAAGTGGGCTCGATCCCGACACCTCAGCCTCGGTGGATCACTAGCCTGGCGCCTTAGCCAGCTCGCCCAGCTCGTCCACCGCGTCCTCAGTATATACATCAAGGCTTACAGTCAGTACAAGTTCCTACAACCTGGTTTAGGCTACTTGTTGTGCACTGTGCGTCTGACAGAATGCAATGCACGTGATGCACGAAATACACGCGGTTGACGTGCGTGCGTGCGTGCGTGCGTGCGTGTCCCCGAGACCTGTATATGTCACCTTCCCACAAGAAGTAGTTATTGTGGAAACCCATCCGGACTTCACAGATAACGGAATTAGCCGGATGAACAGAGTTTCACTGTGACTGTGACAGTTCAGAGAACATGATTATTTTGTTTCGAGATACATATGAGAAAATCTTCATATGACTGAATCTTCATTTTCAGTTTAACTATCATACATATACTTATATATCTATTAAAGTACTCGTCACTATATGGCTGAAATACTGCCGAGGTGACGTTAAATTCTAACTCACTCACTCTATTAAAGTTACCGACGGAACGTGTGGACGTTAACAAAAGCGTCCGTAAAATATAGATATCACGTTATTCCAAGACATTTGTGTTATAACGTGCATGCCATCGCTTACGAAAAAAACACAGATCAGTTGTACAGATAATTACATTAATAAAACACGATTATAACGAACTAACGGATGTAACGAACTGCATTTGGTATCCCGAACACTTGTTCCATATTGTAATCGAAATGTTAAACCGACCAATGATTATGACGAACTTTTTGTTCTTTGGTAGAGTGAGTGAATTAGTTTGGTTTTACGCCGCTTTGAGGAAAATTTTAGCAACATCACGGCGGGGGGACACCAGAAATGGTTTTCATACATTGTACTCATGGTGGGAGTCGAACCCGGGTCGAACGAACGCTGTAATCACGAGTCTACCTCATCGCCCCGTTCTTTGGTAGAGTGAGTGAGTATGGTTTTACGCCGCTTTTAGCAATATTACATTAATATCACACCAGAAATGGGCTTCATACATTTTACCCATGTGGGGTATCGAACCCGGGTCTTTGGTGTGACGAACAAACGCTTTAACCACTAGGCTACCCCACCACCCCGTTCTTTGGTCGAGCAGGAGGCGGGTATTGTACAGTTGTTTTACAGTACTAGTTTTGTATGTGAAAAATCATGCCTTCCCTGAATTTGTTGCTGATAATGTTGTGATGATGGTGTTTTGCTGCTGAAGTCACAAGCTCAGTGTGGTGGTCGCGTGACCTGATGACAACACGTCAACCATAGTATAATTTATTTGCTAATATATTATTATATGTGTGCTGACATTGTATATGTTGTATGTTTTTTAATCTTTTTTAAAACCTGAAATAGTACAACCAGTATCTGACAAAGTATGATATGTATGTTTAAATGGGATTATAAATCCTGACACAGAACAATCTGTATACTGACATAATATAATCTGTTAGTTGATATAGTATATCATATATCCTGAAAAAGTATATCATATATACTGACATAATATAGTCTGTTAGTTGATATAGTATATATAATATCCTGAAAAAGTATATCATATATACTGACATAATATAATCTGTTAGTTGATATAGTATATAATATATCCTGAAATAGTATATCATATATACTGACATAATATAATCTGTTAGTTGATAAAGTGTATCATATATCCTGAAATAGTATATCATATATAATGACATAATATAATCTGTTAATGGATATAGTATATCATATATCCTGAAAAAGTATATCATATATACTGATATAATATAATCTGTTAGTTGATGTAGTATATCATATATCCTGAAATAGTATATCATATATACTGACATAATATAATCTGTTAGTTGATGAAGTATATCATATATCCTGGAATAGTATATCATATATACTGACATAATATAATCTGTTAGTTGATAAAGTATATCATATATCCTGGAATAGTATATCATATATACTGACATAATATAATCTGTAAGTTGATGTAGTATAGTATATATCCTGAAACAATAAAATCGGTAGACTGACATAGTATAGAATGCTGACATTGTATATTTGGCCACATGGGCACAATGTGTGAAGCCCATTTCTGGTGTCCCCCGCCGTGATATTGCTGGAATATTGCTAAAAGCGGCGTGAAACTAAACTCAGTCAGTCAGTCAGTATATTTGGTATTCTGCCGTACTATAATCTGCCGGATTAACGGGTTTCACTGTGGATGTCAGAGAGCATGACTATTTTGTTTCGTGACACACATAAAACAATCGTTTTAAAAATGGCACACAAGCGTTAAAGTCATGCGACGGCCAATCCGACCAGGATCCAAATCATCTCTCAAAAACGACCGGCACGCCTTAAATGCTGCCATAAGCTCTCCTTTCCAGTAGGTCTGTCTCATTGATCAAGAAATCCCCTCGCAATCAGTTTAACATACCGCCAACCCATTGCCGTCGATTACTCAAATTTAAACGCCGTGAAAAACACGGAAGAGACGTGTGTAATGTTTGTATCTGCGGGCGAGGGCTGAAACACAGTGGTGACAAATCAGTTAAAGCCTGGCCGGTCGTCAGCTCTCTACCAGTGAACGGGTGACGAGCTGCTTGGCTAGCCCACCTACTGTCATTCACAGAAGGGAATCTATACTATGAGATAGTTTCACATCAGTGTGGATGAAAGCAGTACAGTGTTGTCGCTCGCTGACTCCTCGCGGGTATGGATTTATATAAAGTTTAACCTGCCTCGGAGCTCGCAAGACGTTAATGATAAGGTGTTGACATACTTTGTACCTGAAGAAAGTTGGCAGTGTTGTGCGTGTGCGTCGTCTGAAGGCATCGCTGGATACACTGTCATGCACAGCGGCAGACATCACAGGCGTTGATTACATGTGCTACAATCATGGCGGATTTTACTGAACTTGTCAAACAGTTTCACTTGCAGAGAGCTTTTCTTTATGGATTTATCATAGTATCAAGTTTCTTCGTGTTTGCGCCTCTCGGAGAATTGCAAGTAAGTAAATATTAGCTCATCGCAAATGACAGCTGGGTTTTTAAGTGTAAACCTACCCAAGGCCATGGATCCAAAACATGGCTAGTTATATTACTGCCGTCTATTTCACAAACGACATTATATTTGGCATTTCCCCAAACATGATCAAATAAGAATATGTATCTTAAAGTATATTCGGTATTAATATAATATGGAAATACGTTTAAAGAGATGCTGATTTTCAGAACATTATATACACATTTAGTCACCGGTACTTGGGGGTCTGCAATTCTAAGACAAACACAGTGAACAGTCCGAAACAGCTGTTAACGATAACATTATATTACAGAAATGCACCATGGACACGATGCTATCGCCCGTTCCTGCACTACTTGATTGCTTCCTTAGATACATTTCGTTAGTTGATACTGTTTCTTACGTTGCCAAAGGTTACCAAAAGAGAAATAGCGAGATGTGGAATAACAAAGTTCGGTATTTTAACGTTAAAGAGTGCCCACATACAAGTGTATATAAATTGTCAATGTATGACAACCCCGCTTAACGAAAATGCGTGAATCCAGCCTAGCCCCAAAGCGAGATTTTGTGTTACTCGAATGCACGTTTTCCCAGTGCAAACCAAATGCATGATAACTCACACAACATGTATTACAACCTAATGTAATGTCAAAGCATAATAACTGAATATAATGTCAAAGCATAATAACTGAATATAATGCCAATGCATAATAACTGAATATAATACCAATGCATAATAATTGAATATAATGCCAATGCATAACAACTCCGTGTAACGAGAATGCACATATATAACTTTTAAGTACATGCACACTAACATAGTACTAGGAATTAAATATATAATAACGTATCTGAGCCACGTCATGCGAGGCCACATCCATGTATTGGCATGCATTGTGCATCTATACATCAACATTTACGGATATTCAACTGCCGTTTCCCGAAAGCGTCGGTATATCTATTCTAAAATCGTGTTGACCCAAATCCCTCGCAAGGCTACAACTTAAGGTTGTACTACCACCAACACAAGACATGCTCCACATACAATCACTGGCCCTCATTGTCCACGCTCTGCTTGTTACGACATTAACACGCAAATGGGACCATAATGTACCCTTACACCTGTATATGTACAAACCATTGACTGATATATGCATCTATGTAGCTGAGTCGCTGATGAAGCTCAGAATGGACCACTCGTGTAGAGTCATTTATATAAGTGATAATTAGTCATGTACGATATTGACAATATAGTTGACCTTAAACATAACTAACACGCTTTGAAGAGCTACAAGCTGACAAGGTTCACTTTGCTCTAAAAGCAAGTGAAAGCTATTTCAGTTATGATAAGAAACGAAATCAACATGAAATGTACATGAAATGTACATGAAATGGACATTCAGATGTATGTGGTGACAAGGAAGGCCATGTTTCCGATTGTCCGCACCAGTTGCTCACTTCGGATGTCTACAGTCTGGACCTGGAAGAGACCACTTAGGTTTAGCTGTTTGTTTACACGATTACATAGAGAAACATTTTATTACCCAAGTGGTGAAACATAACCAGTGTCATATATATCATATGTGTACATGTGCTCATATCACATTTGCCGAGCAACCATTGTATCTGTGTATCGTTGTCTCTGACGTCATTAAACAATTGAACGTGACGTCAATCAAGAGGGCCGTCACACTTGCTTACCGTGTTTTACTGCACAAATGGACATGAATAAAATGGATAATAAATGAATTATTACACTCGAGCAAGTGTGTCATGACTTATACGAAACTCGTGCAAAATTATGTAAATTTCACACTCGTTTCGTGTAAGTCGCATGACACACTTGCTCGTGTAATAATCTCTATATATTTCACATACTGAATTTGAAAACATTTCCTCTGTAATCGCTTACACGTTTCCCCTTGAACACAATCCACTCGGGCTTTATAAACTAAGCTAACATCTAATCATGTATATTTTCTACATATGTGTTATATGCCGTTTGACGATGAACTATACCGGCCTTATAGCATATGAAATAGACATAAATCAACATTATAGTTGGCTGCAAATATTGGCCCACGATTTCAGAAAAACCCGTAACTGAAAACTGCCACTGTATATTTGATATTCTTTGTACTGTGCAATAAACATGATATTGACATGTCTATAAACATGCATCGGGCCTGTTGGGAAGATTAACCTGGAAATCCATTCTGCCCATTTGATAAGTGATCAAAATGTAAAATATGTAACGACAGTAATACAACCAGGCACTATCGCCGTATTGGAAAGGAAGAGAATTATGTTATCTCTTTCCTTATGATATAGGAGGGGCGGTCGGGTAGCGCCTAGTGGTTAAGGCGTTCGCCAGGGGCGTAGAGTTACCATTAAAAAAAACCCGGGCTTGCACATGATTGTCAATACTATATAAATATAAAGCTTTGCAACCTATAGGACTTACAGGAAAATGACTGGCTTGCTACGCGTCTGTTCGCTCGTCACGCTGAAAACCTGTGTTCGATTCCCCACATGGGTACAATGTGTGAAGCCCATTTCTGGTGTCCCCCGCCGTGATATGCTGGAATATTGCTAAAAACCCAACTCACTCACTCACGATGATAAAGGATATTTGAATTGTATGTTTTTCAACAACCACCTTTATTGTTAATCAGGTTACAACAAATCGTTTTTGTTTTTATGTGAATCGACGTCCCCTTTTTCGAAAAATACCCCTTATTCATTTAAAGTAGTTATCAATATCATTGTAATGTATTTTGTATGGATTTATATTATTTTTTTATTTCAATACATTAATTGCATATATAAAATGAACTTTTTCACGAGGAGATAAATGCTGTTTGACCAGAATATTAATCACCGTTTACTTTACTGTTGTACAAATCCGACGACGATGCTGTTGTTTATATATTTGTGCGTAACCCAAAGGGGAAATACAGGTTAAACAGGAAACACTGAACTAGAAGTGACATGGGAGCACATGGAATGATATAGTGTGCATGTTCAAATGACCATTTGGCGTAGACGGTACCTCTACAATCTTTCTCACGTTGTTTGACGGATGCGGCCAACGCCTAATTAGTCATCATTTCACGTATAAATAGCGTAATTCGAATCGTAACGACTGACAGATATGCGGTAATTCGTTATATTCGTATTTCGATACATTCAGAGTTAAATGTATGCTTAGAATATTATATAATATTATAATATATAATATAACTTAGATTATTGCAGAAACAAACAAAAGTGGGAAGAAATCAAGAATTTGATTTTGACTGAGATTAATAATACGAATTGACATAGAGGGGATAGAATGTGTGAGTGAGTTTTGTATTATTCCGCTGTTAGCAATATTCCAGCATGATCACGGCGGTGGACACCAGAAATGGGCTTCACACATTGTACCCATGTGGGGAATCGAACCCGGGTGTTCGGCGTGACGAGCGAACGCTTTAACCACTATGCTAACCCACCGCCCCCGAGTGGGAGAGAACCCCAGCATGACAAGGTAATATTTTAACATCTAGGCATTCCATAAATAACATATAGACACAACGGGAGTGTTTCCAAGAATGTGTGGAGTGTACAGTGTCGCCTTGTAGACGGTAGACTATTCGTGTAATAGCGGTGTAAACCTGAAACAATCGCCTGGGGGGAGGTACCAGCTGGGGAGGAATCAACTGATCGGATGTGAGTAGATATGACAGTCAGGTAGGCAGTTACACAGTTTCTATCTTCCCCCAGGGATTTGTTACTATTAGGGAATATTATGTACAATTGCAACACAGTGTGTGGAGCAGGGGTAACACATGTAGTGCTTCTTTCTGCGTCCTCTTTCTCTTCTTCTGTTTCTTTTTCTCTTGTTTTTTTTTCTCTTTTCTTTTTCTTTATTCTCTTCTATTTGTTTTTTCTTCTGTTCTTTTCTTTTTCTTCTTCTGTTCTGTTCTTTTTCTTCTTTTTATGGTCTTTATTCTCTTCTACTTCCTGCTTTTTCTTCTGTTCTTTTCTTTTTCTTCTTTTTATGGTCTTTATTCTCTTCTACTTCTTGCTTTTTCTTCTGTTCTGTTCTTTTTCTTCTTTTTATGGTCTTTATTCTCTTCTACTTCCTGCTTTTTCTTCTGTTCTGTTCTTTTTCTTCTTTTTATGGTCTTTATTCTCTTCTACTTCCTGCTTTTTCTTCTGTTCTTTACTTTTTCTTCTTCTTTGTCTTTATTCTCTTCTACTTCCTGCTTTTTCTTCTGTTCTTTTCTTTTTCTTCTTTTTTGGGTCTTTATTCTCTTCTACATCCTGCTGTTTCTTCTGTTCTTTTCTTCTTCTTTGTCTTCATTCTCTTCTACTTCCACTTCTTCGTCTGTGTCTGCTTCTTGCTTGGAGTAAAAGTTTTAATATGAATACGATTAAATAAGTTATTCATTTGAATACCTTATTCCTTTGACTACCATGTGTAACTATCTGTATTTTAAACTTTTGTTGACAATACACACTTCGACACACGCGAATTTCGATGTATGGATGATAGGACTTAAACCCAGTGTCACTATCATGATCTTACTATGTCTTAAAGGGAAAGTTTAGGGATGTCAACCTCTTTATTATGCGGAACATTCCAGAGTATATCCACACTCCTTCATCAGATGATTAAAACGTTTTGTACCTTATAGAACCTTGACATCCTTGACATTCATAAATTTTCCGTTTTGCGTGTATTACTTCTAAATTCCTTTCAAAGACTTGATATTATACCCAACGGCTTACATGACATCAGTTCCGTATGTGTAACCTTAGTCCAAAGACCTGTGCACAATGCACATTGTAAAGGCATGACAGTACAGATCCGCGATAAAGGAGAGGCCCTACCTGCTTTGTAAACATACCAGGTGTCGCCAACAAATAGTGTTGTGGTAATGAAATTGGTTGAAATAATAGATTACCTCGCGCAATTCTACACATAAAGGCGCACG